ACAAGAAAAGAGTAGATATATAAGTATTTTCTAAATAAACATTATTGAGAAGCAGATCAGTAAGAGCATTATTTCACTGAGGTGAGAATAAGAAAGAAAATACTTAATCAAAAGGTACTATGGAACTGAACAAACCAAAACCCAACTACAGCCACTGACATCAAGTTGATGCCAACTCACAACGACTTTCTAGGACCCTAAAATGCGAACCCACTAGGTGCACTATGGCAGAAAGATGTGGTGATTTGCTTTGTTGTATGGGGTCACTGAGTCTGAACTGGCACAGTAAAAACTGGTTTAGATTTTTTCACTATAAAAAGAAACTCCTCATTTGTCATTTGAAAATAAAATGGTTGGAAAATAGAAAATGACAATTATAAATATAATGCTTTTACTTCCAGTTAGGATGGCTTCAGTCTTCTTTTCTCAAAGAAATAGGCTAGATTTCTTTAAAGTTTTGTTTGTTGTTGTTTTTTTTTTAAAGGAGGCAGTGGATAAAGAGTTTGGCCACTAACTGAAAGGTCAGTGATTTGAATCTAAACCCATTAAAAATCTTATCAAGAATTCATAAAAATAATACATTCAGATTATTAAGATTTTTATGTCCTCCTTATTAACAGTGAAAGTTTTTGAACAACACATGAAAACAGCTTAGAAGATTAAAATGTGTTGAGTCCTTAGTGAAAGCCATCGACCCCACTTCTAAAAGCATTACTCATATGGTAATGATTATGCAGTAGATGGAATGCTCTTGCCTTTAATTTGAATAATTAAACTTTAGAAAAGATAAATATAAAAATGTTTCATTTCCAAACATTTTTGGAAACCTTGAACTGGGATCTGGATCTTTTCCAATGAGCCAATCTGCCCCATTTAGCAATGCCCTATTTTGGTGGTACTGACTACTTCTAGTGCTATTATTTTGAAAGGTGGCACCAGTACAATACAACCATCCAGTTGCAGTTACTTGTATTGGTTGTGCTGACATTCAGAGAAAAATGTAAAGAGCTGTGATACCTGGTACAATTAAATTCTTTGAAAGGTAGGTTTTACGTTAAGAATATTAACACTTCGTTAAGCAAAAGCTTTATGTCCCTGTTATATACTAACCAAATAGAAACAGTAAAATAACCATCCAGAGCTACCCAAACACCATTTGACATTAAACCTGTTTGACGGATGATATGGAGGGTGGGAGAGGGAGGAGAAAATTCCAGTCTCGATTTTTAACTCCTTCTCTTTGAATACTTACTGAATGGTTTTAACTCATGGCTACCCCAAGGAGAAATACAGAAAACAGAGACATATAGCACTGTCTGGGTAGGATAAAATATTGCTTATTTGCATGACCTGTTTCATATTCATTTAAAGGCTGATATCATGCAGATGCTCCATAATGATGATAAATTTAATTTATTTCCAATTTCTCAAGCTATTCTACAGATTTCAGGCAGCACAATCACAGCCATTATTAGCTCATGGAGCCTCGATGCAACCTTGAAGGAATGGAATTGATCAAGTTAAGAATCTCTTAAAAAGGGAGATGGCAGAAATCCAGAAGGCAAATAGATGATGAAATGGCCATTTCCATTAAGGAAACATCACATCACAGATATTAATTAAGAAGCAATATAATAAAGTTAAGTGGATTTGGAAAAAACGCTGAGTTAAAAGTAACCCCAAATGTCCTCAGCCTGAGGATATTACAGATATGAAGGTGAGTCAGGAAACTGCAATTTTCCATTCATTTTATAGTGGTTGCAGGTAAGTTACAAATGAGATACAACTTCAGAGGAATTCTTTATTTAGGGTGTGGATAAACTCTTCTTGTAAGCGGAAAAAAGTTCCAATGTTGTCAAGAGAAATGACCACCTTTATTTACAGCAATATTAGTAGCAGATGCCAAGAGACTGGCTAATTTCCTATAGCGCAAGAGAAAGAAAGTAAGTAAAACTTCAGCCACCTGCTTAAATGCAGAACATTTCTCCAAGTTCAACATTTCAAAGGCCTTCACCTTAAACTGATGAGACATTTTTGCTCTAAGCGTTCAGTTCAAGCTCAGTTTAACTGTTAATTTTTTTAAAAATGGGTTTTTGTTACTGTTCTTAGAATATAAATACCAAAATATACATCAATTCAACAATTAACACAGAGTTCAGTGACACAGATTACATGCTTTGAGCTGAGAAGACATTCTCACCCTCTTTCTGAACTGCTCTCTTTCCAATGATATAAATTGCTTCCTAACTTTCTTATCTAATCTTTTTGAGTTGTTGTTATCCATCCCATATATACGTAAAAAAAAATTCTTAAAAATCATATTTTACATATGATAGGGGAAAAAAACCTCAAATTATCATTGCTGTTGAGTAAGATCAAATCACAGCCTGATTCTCCAGGAGCTTTTCCAAAGCACCATCTGGTGGACTGGAGCTGCCTGCCTTTGGATTGGCAGTGCAGCCCTTACCCACTAGGCTCCCAGGGCTGTTCTGATACTAGAGGTAGGAAAGAGAACTGAGGCTATGTCAAAGTCCTGTTCTCAAAGAAATGTTATTATTTAACCTCAAATGTTTTCCTGGACAATTTCCCTCATAAGATTGTCTTTTTTAACTTCACTCAAAGTTTGACCAGGGGTACTTCTTTAAAAGAATTAACAAAATCACCTGAGGCAGTGGGTAATATATGATGCAAACAACAAATAAATTAAAAACTTTTAAAAGATAAGATAAGGATTTTGAGAACTCAAAATATTCCTAAGAATAGAGACAGAAGGAAACTCTTCACCACTGGACCAAGAAGCAACACTGTGATGTTATATGTCATCATCAAGTATTTTAACTCAGTGACCCTATAAACAAAGGCTCTGAGGGACACAGTCTTATTAGACTTGATGACATTATCTACAAGAAGTTGCATCACTAACTTAAACTAGTACCTCTCTGGCTATTAAAGTGGACCAGTGTTTCTGCTAGAGAAAGATGGATAATCACTTCCCTTACTGTTCACAGCCATAAAGAGACTTCCTGGATGTACAGCTGTGAATAGGTACAAATTTGACAACAATGAGTTAAACTGAACAACAGCAGTGATATTTAGACTGTTTTTGTTATATGTCTTCAATTCAACCATGACTCATGTTGTTAGGTGCCCTGGAGTCAATGTCAGAGTGACATTGTGAATCCTATTGTATCCTGTGCCATCCTTACCATTTCTGATATACTTAATCCCAATGCTGCAGTCTTCATGGCAAGTCATCTCATTGGAGGGGTATTCTTTTCCTCTGCTGATCCTCCATCTTTCCAAGTATGATATCCCCTTCCAAGGAATAGGCCTTCCTAGTAACACGTCCAAAGTATGCGAGGTGATGCTATCTGAACCTTACTGAATCCTGTCTCCTACAAAGCTGTCATTTCTTTCAATTCCTAATGTTGTATTTGGAAAGAATATTGAGCATGCAATGGACAGACAAAAGAACAAACGTGTCTCGAGGAGTGCAGCTGGGGAGCTCCTTGAAGGCAAGGATGAAAAGACTTTGGACATGTTATTTGAAGGGGACACTTTGTAGAAGGTACCAGGACTGGAAAAATAGAGAGAGTTGGGGTATACACTTGTAAGCACAAAAATAAAGGCTTAATTTATTTTTGGTGGTTGATTACCAGTGTTTTAAGAGTACTAAGTTAATCAGAAAATTGTTTTAGTAACTCATTCACATGATGTTTACTTGTGTTTTACTGATTTTGCAAAGGCATTTGACTTTATAACAAGTTTATAACAAATTACGGATAACACTGAGAAGAATTCCAGAACTCTTAACTGAGAAAATGAGAATGGAGGTACAACATGCTGAACGTATATAAAACAGTTTCACCATCCTTGCCTTCAAGGAGTACCTTGATTTCATTTTCTCTTAGACAGACTTACTTGTTCTCTTGGCAGTCCATGGGATACCTAATACTCTTCTCCAACACCACAATCTATAGGCATAAATTCTTTTATCGTCCTTAGTCACAGTCCAACTTTCAGATGCACAACAAGCAACTGAGAAGATCATGACATGGATCAGACACATCTTAAGTCTTAAAATGACATCACTGTTCTTTAGTACTCTGCAGAGGTCCTTGACAACAGATTTTTCCAATGTAATTCACGTTTTAATTTCTTGACTGCTGGTACCAAGGGTGTTGATTGTGGACTCAGGTAGGATAAATCATTCAGAACTTGAATCTTTTCTCTATCATGATTTTGCCTCTTGGTCTAGTGGTGAGGACTTCTGTGTTCTTGATGTTGACATATAATCTATATTGAAGGCTGTAATTCTTGATCTTCTGCAGCAAGCATATCAAGTTCTCCTCACAGCAAGCAAGGTTGTACTATCTGCATAACATATGGGAGTCTTCCTCCAAGTGATGCTATATTCTTCCTCATAAAGTCTAGCTTCTCTAATGATTTTTTTCAGCATACAGATTCAATGTTGTTCTTTTTGTTGTTAAGTGCCATGAAGTCAAACATGACTGATAGCGACCCTTTGAACAAAAGACCTGAACCCTGTTCTATAACTACCGTCATTTGTCTAAGTTCATTGAGTTTACAGAGGCATGCTGTTATAGGAAGTAAATGCCACTCCTGTTTCCAAACCTGTCTTAATCTGGGAGCTCCTACAACACTGTCAACCATGGGTAACAATTATGACATCTGATACGCCAGTGGCACAATGTTCAGCATTGAACAGACTGAACAGGTATGGATAAAAGAGAAAACCCTTATGCACAACTTTCCCAATTCTTTACCTTTCTTGATGCTTTTTAGTCAAAGCCTAAGTTTTACATGGGCACAATGAAGGGTTTGGAGACTCCCATTCACCTCAGCACTTTTTTTGATGTGATCCACACAAACGCTTCTACGTAGTCAATAAAAAGAATTTAAAAAACAGCTACAAATAAAAGAATTAAAACAATGAGATCAACATTCATGGTAAGAAAAGTTGTATCTGGACAACTAACCTGTAATGATTAGGCATTCATTGTGATCCAGCACCTCAGTGAAGAGTCGTGATACAATCAACTCAGGATTAATTAAAAATCTAATTTCTTCCTGCACAAGTCCTGCACTGGTTACACCACCTCCAACAAAGCGATTTGCAAAATCCACCTATATTTGAGAAAATGTAGTATGTTAAATTACTTTTAAAATTCATGTGTTAGTTAATATTGTATCATGATTCCTTAAAAACCATTTCAATCACTCATTTTTACTTGCAGACTTACAACTAGAGTTAAATTCCAATGAGCACCAAAAGGTGAAGAACAAATTGTGATCCACAGTCAGGTATACAACACTCCAAAAGAAGGACTTAATTTTTTTTTATATGTACAAACAGAAACCTAGAGAGTATATGTGGGAATGGCTATGAATGGATTGAAATAATGGTACGAGGAATATAAAATTAGATCGGTCTGAGTTTATTGATTTGAGTCGGTGACAGAAATGAAGTTGGAGACAAAATGATTGAATTTTCCACAATCAACGACATTCACTGCAAATACGTTTTATAAGAAACAAACGCAGGTTATACACATGGATTTCACCTGATGGTATGCACAGGAATCAGACTGATTACATCTGTGGAAAGAAACCCTGGAGAAGCTCAATATCAGCTGTGAAAACTAGGCCAGGAGCTGACTGTGAACATACCACCAACTACTCATAGGCAAGTTCAAGCTGAAGGTAAGAAAAATTAAA